GGTTTGGGGTCACCCTGTCTCGGGTTTGGGGGTGTTGGGGTCGCCCTGCCTTGGGTTTGGGGGGTTTGGGGTCACCCCACCCTGGGTTTGGGGGGTTTGGAGTCACCCTGCCCTGAGTTTGGGGAGTTTGGGGTCACCCTGCCCTGAGTTTGGGGAGTTTGGGGTCACTGTGCCCCAGGTTTGGGGGGTTTGGGGTCACCCCACTCCGGGTTTGGGGGGTTTTTGGGATTTGGAGCGTAGAGGTGGATTTTGGGGCACAGAGAGAGATTTTTGGGTTCGGGGGGGTGTTGCAGGAGGATTTTGGGGTTCAGGGGGGTCCTGGGGTGCCCCTGACGTGCCCCCGTGCCCTGCCCAGGGCGTACCTGGACCCGGACGTGACGTTGTCCCCCGAGACCTTTGGGAGTGTAGAGGGGGATTTTGGGGCACAGAGACAGATTTTTGGGTTCGGGGGGGGTTGCAGGAGGATTTTGGGGTTCAGGGGGGTCCTGGGGTGCCCCTGACGTGCCCCCGTGCCCTGCCCAGGGCGTACCTGGACCTGGACGTGACGTTGTCCCCCGAGCGGTTCCAGGCCCAGGTCACGGCCGTGGCCCAGCACGTGAACCGGGCGCTGCGGCTGCTGCTCCGCCTCTTCCTCGTCGAGGACCTGGTGGATTCCCTGGAGGTTTGGATCACCCCTCCCCCTCCTCATCCTCCCCACGGCCCCCCAGAACCCTCCGAGACCCCCCCAAAACGCTGCTCTGCCCCCCCTTTTCCCCCCCCCCAGCTCGCCCTGACCATGTGGCTGCTGACCTACGTGGGCGCCGTGTTCAACGGCATCACCCTCCTCATCCTCGGTGAGAAACGGGCTCTGGCCCCCTTCCCCCCCCCCTAAAACGACCCCCCACATTGTGGATTTGTGGGGGGGGGACCCCCAAAATCAGCACCGAGGGGGGTTTTGCCCCCCAAATAACTCTGAGCCCCCCCCTTTTCCCCCCCCAGCCGACCTGTTGGCCTTCAGCCTCCCGCCCCTCTACGAGAAGTACAAGGTGAGCCCAGGGGGGAGGGAACCCCCCCAAAATAAACAAGGACACCCCCAGAACACGGCGGGGGCCCCAAAAAGAAGGAGGGCACCCCCAGGAATGGGGGGGGCACCCTTTGAACCCCCCTCTTGCCCCCCTCCAGGTGCAGATCGATCACTCCGTGGGCGTCGCCCGCAGCCAGACCAAGGACCTCGTGGCCAAGTGAGTGCCTGGGCCCCCCCCCCAAAATCCTGCCACCCCCCCCAAAATCCTGGGCCCCTCCCATCATTCAGAACCCCCCCATGTCTCTGTGACCCCCTCACATGTCTGGGGCCCCCCCCAAATCACCCTCCCGAGCCCCCCAAACCCTGTCCCCTCTCTCCGTAGGATCCAGGCGAAGCTCCCGGGTCTGGCCAAGAAGAAACCGGAATAAACTCCCCTGGGGGGGGGGAATTTTGGGGTGCCCGGTGGTGCCCCCCCCACTCCGAGCTCATCTGCCCCCCCCACGAGCTCATCCCCCCCCCCAAATTCCACCCCCACCCCCCCAAGCTCGTGCTCCCCCCCCCCATCTCACAGTGGCGTCCGTCTGTCCCCCCCCAGCCTTGGGGTTCTTGGGGGGGCTGCACCCCAAATCCCCCGCCGGGGGGGTCCCCAAAACCCCCCGGGGGGGATCCCCCCTCCCCCAGCTCGTTTCTTCCCCCCGCCCATTTTATTTTTTTAACGTAAATTGAGGTGAAATGTCTGTAACTGCTGTAAATGGAGGGGGGGGGGGGGCTCAGCCCCCTCCCACAGCCCCCCTCAAACCGCACTGCGACCCCCGAGTCCCCCCCCGACCCCCCCGGCTCTGCTGGGGGGGTGGGAAATGGGGGGACCCCCCCCAAAATCCACCCACGGGGACGTGGCATCAATAAAACACCGCGACGAGGCTCCGCCCCCGCTGTGCTGGCTCCCCAAAAGGGCCCCAAAAATGGCCCTGGGACCCCCCCAGAGTGGCCCTGGGACCCCCCAGGTGTCCTTGGGACCCCCCCCCCCAGAGTGTCACCCCCAAATGTCCTTTGGACCCCCCCAAAATATCCCCCTAAAATGTCCCCCTAAATGTCCCTGTGACCCCCCCAGATGCCCTTGTGACCTTCCCCGAGTGTCCCCTCAAAATGTCTCTGTGACCTCCCCCCCCCCAAAATGTCCCCCCCCCATGTCCCTGTGACGCCCCCCAATGTCGTTTCCCCCCCAGTGTCCCCCCATCACTCCCGGGGGTTTCCAGGGTGGGGTTTATTTGGGGGGTCCTGTACAAGGGGGGGGGCATAAAAACGGGGGGGACACACACACGTATAAATAGGGGGACACTGAGGGGGGACACTGAGGGGGGACAGTGACACCGGGGGGGTCACTGGGGGGGGACAGTGACACCGGGGGGGGGCACTGGGGGGGGACAGTGACACCATGGAGGGAGGGGCCACCTCTGGGGGGCTCTGAGGGGGGGACATGGGGGGTCACTGCTGTCCCCAGCCCCCCATGGGGTGTCCCCTGCCCCCCCCCCGGTGTCCCCATCCCGGGGGGGCTCAGGTGGTGCCGGTGGGGGGGGGTCCCGTGCCCCCGACCCCCCCCTCGGGCTCCTCCTCCTCTTCCTCAGCGGGGTGGGCCGGTGCTGTCACCTCGCTGTCACCTCGCTGTGCTGCTGGGCCTGGCGCTGGGGGGGGGGGGACACACGGCCCCTGGAGTGGCCTCAGGTCCCCACAGCCCCCCCGCAAAATGTCCCCGTGTCCCCAGAGCCCCCTCCCAGTGTCCACGTGTCCCCAAACCCCTCAGTGTCCCCAAATGTCCCCATGTCCCCACACCCCCTCAGTGTCCCCAGAGCCCCCCCTCAGTGTCCACGTGTCCCCAAACCCCTCAGTGTCCCCAAACCCCTCAGTGTCCCCAAATGTCCCCATGTCCCCACACCCCCCCAGTGTCCCCAGAGCCCCCCCTCAGTGTCCCCAAATGTCCCCATGTCCCCACAGCCCCACCCAGTGTCCACATGTCCCCAAACCCCCGGTGTCCCCAAGTGCCAATGTCCCCACACACCCCCCAGTGTCCCCACATAGCCCCCAGTGTCCCCACAGCCCCCTTCAGTGTCCCCACACACCCCCCAGTGTCCCCACACATCCCTCAGTGTCCCCACACACCCCCCCGTGTCCCCACAGCCCCCCCGTGTCCCCACACATCCCCCAGTGTCCCCACAGCCCCCTTCAGTGTCCCCAAGTGCCAGTGTCCCCACACATCCCTCAGTGTCCCCACACACCCCCCCGTGTCCCCACAGCCCCCCCCGTGTCCCCACAGCCCCCCCAGTGTCCCCACAGCCCCCCCAGTGTCCCCACAGCCCCCCCAGTGTCCCAATGTCCCCACACACCCCCCAGTATCCCCCCAGCCCCCCTCAGGGTCCCCAAGTGCCAATGTCCCCACACCCCCCAGTGCCCACCCCCATGTCCCAGCATCACCAGTGTCCTCATGCCCCTCATTGTCCCCAAATCTCCCTGGTGTCCCCAAATCTCCCAGCACGCCCAGTGTCCCCCTGTCCCCGTTACCTCCCCACAATGTCCCCGTTCCCCCCGGTGTCCCCACCCCCCCGTGTCCCCTGTCCCCCCTCACCCTGGCTGTCCCCACAGTGTCCCCGTGTCCCCCCGCTGTCCCCCCTCACCCTGGCTGTCCCCACAGTGTCCCCGTGTCCCCCAGCTGTCCCCCCTCACCAGGAGTGTCCCCACAGTGTCCCCGTGTCCCCCCGCTGTCCCCCCTCACCCTGGCTGTCCCCACAGTGTCCCCTTGTCCCCCCGCTGTCCCCTCTCACCAGGAGTGTCCCCGCTGTGTCCCCGCCGTTCCCGGGGTGTCGCTTTGTCCCTGCCGTGTCCCCGCCATGTCCGTTTGTCCCCGGGGTGTCCGCACTGTCCCCGCAGTGGCAGCTTGTCCCCGGGGTGTCCCTGCTGTCCCCCCCGGGCAGGGCTGTCCCTGGGGTGTCCCCGTTGTCCCCTCTGGGCAGGGCTGTCCCCAGGGTGTCCCCGCTGTCCCCTGTTGGCAGGGCTGTCCCCAAAGTGTCCCCGCTGTCCCCTGTTGGCAGGGCTGTCCCTGGGGTGTCCCCCCTGGGCAGGGCTGTCCCCGAGGTGTCCCCGCTGTCCCCCCTGGGCAGGGCTGTCCCTGGGGTGTCCCCCCCGGGCAGGGCTGTCCCCGAGGTGTCCCCGCTGTCCCCCCTGGGCAGGGCTGTCCCCGAGGTGTCCCCGCTGTCCCCCCTGGGCAGGGCTGTCCCCAAAGTGTCCCCCCCGGGCAGGGCTGTCCCCGAGGTGTCCCCGCTGTCCCCTGTTGGCAGGGCTGTCCCCGGGGTGTCCCCGTTGTCCCCCCTGGGCAGGGCTGTCCCCGGGGTGTCCCCCCTGGGCAGGGCTGTCCCCGGGGTGTCCCCGCTGTCCCCCCCGGGCAGGGCTGTCCCTGGGGTGTCCCCCCCGGGCAGGGCTGTCCCCGCTGTCCCCCCGGGGTGGCAGGGGCAGGGTGTCCGGGTGTCGGGCGAGCGCGTGGCGCCGGATGTCCCCGAGGTGCAGGGACGGGAGGGGACACGAGCACAGGAGGCACCGCAGGTGGCCCCGCTCCAGGTCCAGCAGCAGCTCCGCCCGCAGCCACCCCCGAACAGGGTCACCGGGGACACCCCCCGGGGGGGACACCCCGGGGACACCCCGCGGGGACGGCGGCGACGGGGACCCTGCGGGGAGGGGACAGAGGGGTCATGGAGGGGTGAGGGGGGCACCTGGCGGGGTCGGGGACACGTGGGATGGGGCAGGGACATTGGGGACAGCTTGGGGACATGTGGGATGGGACAGGGACATTGGGGAGAGCTTGGGGACGTGTGGGATGGGGCAGGGACCTTGGGGACATGTGGGATGGGGCAGGGACCTTGGGGACACGTGGGATGGGGCAGGGACATTGGGGATGGCTTGGGGACATGTGGGATGGGGCAGGGACATTGGGGACATGTGGGATGGGGCAGGGACATTGGGGACGTGTGGGATGGGGCAGGGACATTGGGGACAGCTTGGGGACATGTGGGATGGGACAGGGACATTGGGGACACGTGGGATGGGGCAGGGACATTGGGGACGGCTTGGGGACATGTGGGATGGGACAGGGACCTTGAGGACATGGGGCTCAGGGAGTTGGGGACGTTGGGGACGGCTTGGGGACATGGTGGCACAGGACAAGGACCTTGGGAACAGGGGCTCGGGGAGCCGGGGACGTTGGGGACGGCTTGGGGACATGGTGGCACAGGACAAGGACCTTGGGGACGGGGGTTTGGGGAGTCGGGGACGTTGGGGACGGCTTGGGGACATGGTGGCACCGGACAAGGACCTTGGGGACGGGGTTTGGGGCCATTGCGGACACTTTGGGGTGGGGGGCACTGGGGACATTCTGGGGGGACACTGGGATGGGGTGGGGCCATGGGGACACCTGGGGGTCAGGGGGGTTGGGGACATTGGGGACACCTGGGGGGGGACTGTCCAAAGGGGTGGGGCAATTAAAAAGGGGTGTGGTTTGGTCAAAGAGGGCGTGGCCCAGACCCAAGGGCCTAATTTAAATGGGTGGAGCCAAGAGGTAAAGGAGGCGTGGCTCCGGCTAAATGGGGCGTGGTCAAGCAGGGGGATTGGCTGCTAAATGGGCGGGGCGCTGAGTAAAGGGGAGGAGCTACATTTAAAGGGCCAAGGCCCTGTTTTGGTGACTCTTGCCTCCAAGGGGGCGTGGCCACAGTGGAAGGGGTGGGGCTCGTGTTAAAAGGGCGTGGCCACAATTAAAAGGGCAATGCTTGTGCTAAAGGGGCGTGTCCACACATAAAGAGGCGGTGCTCAGGTTAAAGGGGGTGTGGCCACATTTAAAAGAGCAATGGTTATTTTAAATGGGGCGTGGCCACATTTAAAGCGGTAACGGTCATATTAAAGCGGTGTGGTGACATTTAAAGGGTGTGTCCTTTTGAAGGGGGCGTGGCCACATTTTCAGGGGCGGTGCTTATTACAGGGGCGTGGCCACATTTAAAGGAACCGCGTTCATAAAAAGTGGGGCGTGGTGACATTTAAAGGGGCGGTGCTCACATTAAACGGGGCGTGGCCATCTTTAAAGGGGCGTGGTTACAATTAAAAGGGCCACGCTCGTGTTAAAAGCGGCGTGGCCACATTTAAAAGGGCAACACTTTTTAAAGGGCCGTGACCCCCTAAACCCCCCCTCCCCCCCCCTCACCCCGTACCTGTCCCACGGGCGGCTCCGGGGGGTCCCTCGCGGCTCCCGGGGGGCGGCCCCGGAGGAGGGGGGTCCCAGGATCGCAGCACCAGCTGCTTCTCGCGCGGCCCCCAGGCCCCGGAGTAGGGGTGTTTCTGGCGGATGTGGCGCTTGATGGTGCTGAGCTTGAGCGTGGCCAGGGCGCTGCCGCACACCAGGCAGCGCATCCCGTGCCGGGCCCCCCGGAACTCCATCAGGTACTCGGAGCGCCAGCGCTCGTGGTAATAGCGCCGGTGGTCCCGGCCCGGCACGCGGCTCCGGCCCGGCCGCGACGCTCGGGACTCCCGGGGGTCCGAGGGGCTGCGGGGGGGGGCGCGTGGGGAGGGGGCTGCGGGGGCAGAGGGGACAGGCTGAGAGAGGGGGGTCCTGGGGGGGCTCCTCGGCGGTGGGGCTGAGCTGGGAGGCTGGGGGGGGGGGGTCTGTGGGAGGCCCCCCTCGATGTCCCCGAGCTGGGGGTCCAGGGGGAGCCCCCCCCCCCGTCCCCAGGGTCCATCTGGGGAGGGGTTGGGGGGTTGGTGTGTTGGGGGAAGCGGGAAATGGGGATTTGGGGGGGGGTCCAAGGGAAGGAGGGGGTTTGGGGGGTTGGTGCATGAGGGGCTTCGGGGATTGGGGGGGTTGGGGGTTGATGGAAAGGGGGAACCGGGGTGGGGATGGGGGAGTTTGGGGGGTTCAGAGGGGTGGAAGGGGCAGAGGGGGTTGGAGGGTTGGTTTGTGAGGGGGCTCGAGGGCACCCCAAATTCCTGGGGGCATCCCAAATTCCTGGGGGTACCTTAAAGGGACAAAGACCACCTAAATTGGATTCGGGGCTCTTAAAGGGCCAGTAAGGAGCATGACAGAGGGGCAGGGGCACCTTAAGGGGATGGGGGCATCCTAAATTGGCATCCTAAATCGGAGGGGGCGTCTTTAAGGCACGGGAGCATCTTAAAGCGACAGGATCATCCCAAATTTCCTGGAGGCAACTTAAAGGGACAGGGACGCTTCAAAGGAATGGGGGCATCCCAAATCGGGTGAGGGCACCTTAAAGGGACAGAAACATCCTAAAAGGGACGGGGGGGATTTTAAAGGAGCGGGGGCATCTTAAAGGGTCAGGGGCACCCTAAAGGACATCCTAAAGACCCGGAGTCATCCCAGATTGGGTCAGGGCATCTTAAAGGGACAGGAGCACATTAAAAGGGCAGGGGCACCCCGAGTATCTGGGGGTATCCTAAAGGGCCAGGGGCGCCCCGGAGGGTGACGGGGCTGCCAAAGGCGCCTCTTAAAGGGGCAGCGTCGCTCCCATTGTGCTCCGGGGGGATCCCACCGCCGCCCCCCGCGGGAGGGGGGGGCCCAATAAAGGGGCCGCAGCGCCCACCCCCCTGTCCCCCCCGCCCCCTCGGTGCTCACCTGGGCTGTCCGGGGTGGGGAGGGAGTCGGGGGCGGGGAGGGGGGTCGGGGGCTCCATGGCGGGTCCGGGGCGGTGGCGGCGGCGTTGGGCGGGGGGCGGGGGCCCGGCTGGGGTGGGGACGCGGTCGAGGGGCCCCTGGGGCTCCTTTAAGGGCTCCTGGGTAAATTTAAAGGGGCCGCACGCCTTTCCCGTCTCCCCCCATCCCGCCCCTCCCCGCAAAGGGGGGCTTGGGGGTCGGGGGGGAGTCACCGGCAGGTCTCAGCCCACCCCAGTCCCCCTAAAAAAGCCATAAGGATGATTTTGAGGGGGGATCCCCCAGGAGGGAGGGAAGGGGAGCTCCTGGACGCCCCCTCCCCCATGAAGCCCCATCACCACCACTCCGCATCATCGCTCGGGGGTCCCGGACCGAGGGGGCACCAACGAGGCCTCCACCCCCCCAACCCTGGGCTGGCTCCGCCCCTTTGGTCCAGAGGGGGCGGGGCTTCGGGAGACCGCGCCCTTATTTTTATGATGGGGCGCGGCTTCCGCGACTGGTCCCGCCCCATCCCCTAAACTTGGTGTATCCCCCCCAATCCTTCCAGTTCCCCCTCCCAGTGCTCCCAGTGCCCCTCCCCACTGCAAACAGGGACCCCACCCACCCCGAAACCGGGAAGGTCTCTCGGCGGTCCGGGTCTCCCTCCCCCCAAAATCGGGGAGCGCTCGGGTGGCCTGGAGCCCCCCACCCCAAAACCAGGGAGGGCGCGGGGGGTCGGGGTCTGGCCGGGTCTCCCCCCGCCCCGTTTTGGGGTCTCCCCCAGAGCTGGGGGGAGGGGAAGAAGGTTCGGCTCCATTCGGCTTTTTCCGTAACGGCCGGAAGGTCCCGAAGGAGCCCGAGAGGAGTTCGGGTATTTCCGTATTCACTCGGGTCTTTCCGTTACAGGCCGAAGCGCCCGAAGGCGACCGGGTATTCGGGTATTTCCGTCCTCACTCGGGTGTTTCCGTCCCCGCTCGGGTTCGGCTCCTCCCGCGGCGCTCGGCGGAAACCCCCGAAGGCGCTTTCGGGCGGCTCCGGAGTGGCGGCGGAAACGCCCGAAGGTTGGACCGAACGGCTCCGGGAACAGCCGAACCGGGGCTGGGGTGGCGGGGGGGGGCGTGTCGGGTGTTTCCGGCGCGGCGGCGGAAATGGCCGAGGGCCGGCGGCGGCCGCCATGTTGGGAGCCGCGGGGCGCTGAGGCGGCGGCGGCGTGAGGAGGAGGCGGCGGCGGCCGGGCCGGGCCGGGCGGACCCCGCCCGCTCCCCCCTGCTCCTCTCCCGGCCCCCCGATGCCGCTGGCCTGGCCCCCCCCCGCCCCTTGAGCTCCCCCGCCTCCCCTTCCCCCTCCCCGCACACCGCCTTGCCGCGGCTTCCCCCTATCGCGATAGTCGCCG